AATGATGTCCCAATCGAATATCTAATGATATGGAGGGTTTACCCATGTTAATAAGATGTTAGGGAATTGAAATAAAGATAGAATCACCATTAGAACTTACCTTGGGTGGTGGAGGGACCTTTAAGGAGTTAGGTTTTTGAGAGTTTTCCTTTCTAGGGCAAGTTTTTATGTTTTGGGGCTGTAGGGGACGAAATAAGGCTAAAACAATGACCTCCCAAGTTGTCCACCGCGTCCCGGTTGGCGTGACCGCGGTCCCAACCGCGGTAAATCGCTGAGACACTGCCTCGCCACCGCGGCCGCGGTGAAAAGCGGCAGGACCGCGGTGGTTGCACACCTCTCTGTAAAACGGGCATAACTTTTTGCACAGAGCTCCGTTTGGGCTCCACAATATATCGTTGGAAAGCTATTTCAAAGGCCTACAACTTTCATGCTTTGAGTTTTCCCAAATTCCTTACACGTATTCACTAAAACCTGCTGGAATACGAACCTTCTGCAAACTTAGTCGATTTTGTCAAATCTTATGCACCTCACTTTCCATCTTGATTTTGAAATAACTATTTTCACCCATAATCATCCCGATGGGACTTCACATGATCAAAATATATCCTTACTACTCCTTTAACTCATTCATACCTAAGCCGAATTTTTTTCGGGGTGTTACACAAGTCATGTTCCAATCGTTAGTCCCGTGCTGCGGTCCTGCATAATAAAAGAATCATCAATAAAATATATACCACAATGGAGGGCACGAGTCAAATGACTAACAGATGCAAGATTAAAAGGACAGCCAGGGACATATAGAACGGAATCTAGAGTGACAGAGGGTAGGGAATTTGCTTGTCCAACACCTTTTGCTTTAGTTTGAGACCCATTGGATAAAGTAACAGTGGGAAGAGATTGTGAATACGCAATATTTGACAAAAGTGATTTATTACCAGAGATATGATCAAAAGCGGCTGAGTCCACAAGTCATTGTCCAAAAGTACTAGACTGGGAAACACAAGCAAAAGAATTACCAGCAACAGAAGTATCAGTCTGAGCAACAGAGGCTACTTGTGGAGATGTTTTCTTACTTGCTTGATATTGAAGGAACTCATTATACTCCCCTTCAGATAAAGAAAATCTCTGGTTACATGTAGTCTCGGTCTGAGCAACATAAGCATTTTTGGGTGGGCGACCATGTAAAGAATAGTACACGTCACGAGTGTGTCCAAGTTTATGACAATAAGAGCACTTGGGTCTAGATCTTCCAAAACGACCTCCTCCTCGTCTATTCTCCATAGTTTGAGATGCCCGATTGTCCACTGGCTGGGATACGAGGACAGATGAGTCAAGTGTCTGTGATGAGCTCACTGGGTGACTTGGTGCTGCAGCAAGGTGAAGTAATCGAGAGAATAATTCATCAACTGTGGGGACAGTCGGACTAGCCAAATCTGGTCACGTACTGAATCAAGGTCATTAGGGAGTCCAGCGAGTGTAAGAACTAGAAACATCTTCTGTCATTGCTCTTGTTGCTTTTCAATACTAGCAGAAACTGACATTAACGTCTTAAATTCTTCCATGACTGCCTGTACTTGTCCCAAGTTAGTAGACATATCCAATTCCTGTTTCTTTAAGCTTGTCATTCGCGATATTACATCATAGAAACGAGATATGTCATTAGTGTATAAATTACGAGCCTTTTCCCAAACTAAATAACATGTCTGGAATGGACGGAACAAGGGCATCAACTTGGAATCAATAGATCGCCACAGGATACTACATAACTGAGCATCGACCTTCTCCCACAGTGTTTTGGCCTTTTCATCACCTTCGCTAGCCTTTTTTATTAAATGATCTTGAACTCCTTGACCTTTACACCACAACTCGAC